AAGGGCTTATGGTCGGTGAATAAAATGAATCGACGTCCTTCTACTGCGTGCCGAAAATGTTTGATGGCGCAGTAGGCTGCTAGCAGCTCGCGACCAAAAGCGCTATATCTCGTCTCCGTGGTAGTGAGGCGTCGTGAGAAAAACTCGAGAGGTTGCCAACTACCGGAGATGTTTTGTTGCATGACTGCTCCTATAGCAACATCGGATGCATCAACCGCTATACTAAGCGTGGCTGATGGATCGGGATGGGCGAGAAGAGTGGCTTGCGCAAGAGCCGTTTTGATTTCAGTGAATGCAGTACGTGCAGAATCGTTCATTTCCAATCTGCGTGGGTTGCCGCGTAGTAAGTCGGTTAGTGGTCGTAACCGTTCTGCCGCGTGTGGGATGAAACGACGGTAGAAGTTAACCAAACCGAGAAAAGCCTTCAGTTCCTTGAGTGAGGACGGCACGTTGTACTCCTTTATTGCTTGCACTTTGTCCTCACAAGGTAGAATACCCTCTTGCTTGATAACATGACCCAGAAATATGATTTCTCGTTTACCTAACTCGCATTTGTCTGGGTTAACTACTATTCCATTATCCGAAAGGCGTTGGAATAATAGCGTAAGATGTTGATAATGTTCATCTACGTTTGATGATGCGATTAGCAGGTCATCAATATAGACGTGAACAAAATCGAGGTCTCGTACAATGCTATCGATAAACCTTTGAAAAGTTTGAGCAGCATTCCGTAATCCAAATGGCATTCGTAGGAACTCAAACAAACCGAAAGGAGTCGTGATAGCAGTCTTTTCGATGTCTTCAAGAGCGACTGGGATCTGATGATATGCTCGTACCAGATCGATCTTAGAAAAGATAGTCGTGCCCTTGAGCGATGCCGTGATGTCGTGTATGTGGGGGATGGGGTAGCTATCAAAGCGCGTAACTACGTTTAGAGCTCGGTAGTCGCCGCATGGTCTCCAACTAACCCCATCTTTTTTGCGCACCATGTGTAGAGGAGAGGCCCATGGACTGTGAGAAGGACGAATAATACCAGTAGCTAGTAAATTGTCAAACTCACGCTTAGCAAAAGCTAATTTGTCCGGTGCCAGTCGGCGAGGTCGTGCCGTGACTGGCGGTCCGCGGGTGACTATGTGGTGTACCACACGATTGGTCACCGATGGAAGCTCCTCGAGTGGTTTAGTGATTACGGGGAATTTCTCGAATAAAGCGTGGAATTTATCGTCACGCGAATAAAAAGTGCCCAGGATTCGGTACGCGTTCATGTGGGCTTTACAGCCCATGAATTTGCTGTTCGACGAAGTATCGATTAGCTGCAGCCTACGTGAATCGACAAGCAATTCATAGTGCTGTAGAAAATCGATACCTAGTATGGCTGTGGGAACATCAGCAATGATGAACGTCCACAGATACCGTCGTCGGTTGCCCAGGTTGACCGCGAGTTGTCGTGTACCGTAGGTAGGAATGACTGAGCCATTCGCAGCGCGTAGTCGAAGCACTGTGGCTTGTGACTTGCTGCTACCTCGTGGTACGACAGAAACTTGGGCCCCAGTGTCTACTAGGAACCTAGCGTTCGTGCGGTAATCGTGCACGTAGAATAGGCGACCAACCTGGGGTAAAGGGCCGGCGAGTACGGCCGCTTTTACTCGCCGGCGCTGGCGTTTCCCGCCTTGTATGAGCATGGTGCTCGACAACGGCGGGCGCCAGACCCGAAGGACCTATGGAACCAGCACCAACTGTCACTCGCTTCCGTAGCCGCCTTTCGGCGTGGCCTGGAAGATGCCCTTTTTGGGCGAGTGGTGACGGGTTTGCGAGAACTTGAGCGAGCTCGGGGGACGTAGGGTTGGGGTACGTTACAGCGATCTCGAAAACTAAGACGTGTGTGAATACACCCGGCCCTGTCACCATGAGCTGTGGAATGACCGGCGTCCATGTCTACATTAGGACGTGCCGTCGAAGCGACTACATAGGTGTCTCTATTACTAGTCCTCGCCAAAATTTTGTCTGCTATGAGAGCTACCTGGTTAAGCGGTGAGTCCTCGAGCAGTGCCGTCACAGTAGGTTGGATATGGGCTGGTAGTGACTCGAGCCATAATTCCTTGACTATCTCCGAGTCTGATGCTGTTGGTCCTGCAAGAGATTGCAGGCGCGTGAGGTGATGGCTTGGTTTAGCGTCACCCAGGGGGTGACGTGCTAACAGGGTCCTCAATCGTTCCTCCCTCGATGGGAGGAAATGTCGGAGAATTGCCTCCTTGAGGCGGTCATAAACATTAGGCACGTTAGAATTGAGGACAACCTCACGAACAGCTACTAAATGGTCCCCGGGTAATGACTCGAGAGCGTAGGCGTATTTTTGCCTTTGGCTCGTGATGCGACGAGTCTCGAACTGAGACTCTAAAGCAGCAAACCAGACCTCAGGGTCGTGGGGGATAAATGATACAGGTCGAAAATGAATGGCCTGTACGTCTGAGTCTATAACATTAATAGTATTCTTATCGTTATCCGTCATGTCGTGTATATTATATATTAAAAATTAATATGAAAATATACGACAGACGTGGATAGATAAATAATAGACTCACCAAATTGACTTCTTTGGAAGATTTGACCCGAGGTTGAGGCGTGTTCCAAACTTTGGGATCACCAATGTAGCGTGGCGTCGAGTTGAGATTAACTGTGAACACCGCTACCAAGAAACACGTGCCAGATAAATCAGAAGGCGAGGTTGAACGTAACCAGATTTATTTCGTTGGCGATCTCGTGGTATTGAACGAATACCGAGATCGTGCCAAGAAGTGGTACAAGTGGAAGCAGAAGACAGGAGTACGTGCGAACAGTACCAAAAACCGCGGAACAATGATGGAAGGTAATGGAAGCACAAAATGGCTATAATTAGCACAGTTAAACAAAAGCACATTAAAACAAACACTGGTACAGTTGGTTATAATAATAATTGTTTTTATTAAACCAGTCGTGTTCTCGTGATAAACGTGAGTCACTACAAGGTAACTCAAGTACTTAATTATGCATTCAGGAACACTTGTGTTCTGGTTTTTACCTATTTTACTTATCTTCTACCACTGAGTATAAAGATAACAAATATAACAACATCTAGGGTTGAAATCGTTTGATGAAATAATATTTCTCCGACTTCATAGTGAGGGACTCGTGTTCTCATAGCAACCTTGTTGGGTAATGTTCACATCAGAGTAGTAAAAGCAGGTATGTTGACTATTATCATAGTTATATACCACATATAAACTGCAGCAAACTTGTCATTGATTTAGTGAAACCAAAATTTGAACTAATAATAGACAACTCCGTTTTTTAACAATGTTGACAACAAACAAACTGAATTATGTAAATTATTTTCAATATATCAGTCACCAGACATACACTGTATCACATTAGAATGACTAGTTGATGTGAATAATTAATGACAATGAATATACGGATATTGTGTGTAGTAACATTTGAGCACATGTTGCTCTGTTTAGGATATTAATAACGTGTTGCAGTCTCAAGGTTTACTGCACAACTAATCACATTACATGTTCCTTCGGATTCAGTCGATATTTATAATCTATCATTTTAACCACCTACTCAGTAGTCTAACACGTTTATTGAGAGAGTGGAACGTCCTACAATTAAACCTTAGAAGGAATATGTATATCTTAGAAGTCTGATCAGCTCTAATGAGTTGATATCTGAAAAAATCTCCACACCTATTCAGAAAGTTTGTTTGGCTTTTGCCAATTTACGTCATCTATGTCGAAGGTGAAATACCTATCTATCAATTAAGGGACGAGTATACTGCTCAGCAGTTCATTCTGTTCTACTTTACAGATGCGAAATTGGCCATTAAGAATAGAAGACACTCCTAAGTTACTAGTGTTTGATCACAGATACCTTAGAAATATCTCTCGTAGCTGTTAGAATCACCGGGTAAGTAATAGTGAGGTTAGACGCAACGTATCAGGGGTTGATAGTAAATCAGTCACGATTGATTGATCACTGGGTGGTGATCAATGTCATGCTTGTCTTGTCCTTATTAGTGCAGATCGAATGCTATCGATCGTGTTGCAATGTGGCCACCAGTCTAGGTGACTCGACACTGCGGGCACTATGTATTGAGATTTAGATGGTGGTTGGAGGAGGTTAGTCACGGCTCGGATAGCTCAGTAGTAACGTCTCTGACTGTGAAGCTGGGTGACACGAGATCGAATCCGCCAGGGAGCACCAGTTCCCTCAAGATTACAGGTACACCTTGCTGACGAGTGCCGAATAGCACGAAACCCGGGTCAGGGTTTCCTGTTGACTACCTCCAACCACCATCTATATAGTAAATCAGTTGATAAGATTGTAAATCTTAGGAGCGGCCAAAGCTTGAAGTGCTTGAAGTCACTAACTTCCAATCTGAGCCATGTTGGTAGATACAGACTACTTGGTTATGTTCCGCGTGACTATCGTAACCGATGGTTGGAGACTGTGTGACATGGCTGACAACCGATCACAATGGCGTAGGTGTATACACTCTCTGACTTCACTTAAACCTTAAGATTACTTACTTTCTATGAACTAATTCCTTCTTCCCGCATCATATCCTTATATACAATCGTTTTTTATATATTACTACCAGTGAAGTAACTACTTCTATGAATTCGGTGTTCATTTTGTTGTGCTAATGAAGTGTGGCAACTTGTACCGATGCATATATGTGCCTGGTCTTACATTGTAACTGACTGATATATACGTATATCCATGGATTATTGATCAGTTTCACGTTAGAATGAAAAGACCTATTCAAGTGTTTCAAATATTCATTAGTCTTTCTCTGTGATAAAAAATCAAAAAAGATCTCTCTCTTTATTTACATGTTATTATATCCTTCAATAAACGTGTATTTAGCCTTTTCCTTTTTTAACCAATCATATTCATCTTAATTCGAAATATTATAGGTTAACATGTTGTAACATTTGAAATGTGTATTTCAATTAATTATTGTCTATAATTAATTAATCAGATCAATCATTGCATAGTAGTATAATTCAATTCCATACAATTTTGTTGTTGTTGTTGTTGTTGTCGTCGTCGTCGTCGTTGTTGTTGTCCTTGCTTGTTGTTGTCACCGTCATCGTTATTGTCGTCGTCGTCGTTGCTTGTTTGATTGTTATCAGTTTCCCATCTCTTCTAAATATTTTTCCTAAATATGTTTTCATATTGCTTTGAACAAAATAAAAATTCTCAATTTATTCATATTTTTAGTGATTATCAATTGAATAATAAAATTTTATTTTCATCATTAATTATCATTATGTTAATAACATGGAGTATATTCTATGTAATTATTCCTAATACTACTAGTAATACTACTACTAATAATAATAATAATGGAATAGATCCATTCAATACAAATAATTCTTTGGTAAGTTCATTTCATTATTTGATGTAGAATAATATGTTGGGACTTAATGTTTTGATTGACGATATTGATACTTCATTTCAAATATCTTGGTATGCCCAAGGGTTGGAGGGACTTAGCATTCCATCTCAAAATACTCTCACATGGCGATGTGTATACAGCCATTGATAGGGAAGTCCTACTCAATAACTTCTCGCATCATGGGTGTTGTTTACGAAACGGAGGGGATGAAAAGCGAATGTCCGGTGCTTTAACCGGGTTGGTGGGTACAGAAGGTCCACCTAGGGGAGTTGGAAAACCCTGGTTCCATACCAGTGGTGCACATGAGCTCCAGTATCCTGAAGGAACAAATTGCGTATGAACCAATTGTTGGTCATTGGCTACCATAGAACTGCATCTCCTTACGACGTTCCACTGCCTTGTGGATCAGACCTTTAGGTCGAAGGCTCTGAGTGTGTTTCCCTTATGGAAATCACCTGTTTCGGTCTAGGCATCCGGGTAGTATCACAGCCCACACACAAATCAGGTGACTTATATAGCGCATATCTATTTGGTGCCTTCTTGTACCAATATTTTGTGTCCAAATAATCAATAATAATAGATTGTTTAAAAGAAACCTAATTACTGTTTTCTAGTTGTGAATTTTATTAAACTATCAATAATCACATCGAGGATATCCATTGGACCCTGTTCTGTTCTCGATAGTTTTATTTCATCTATTTCGACTTTCTAAGTAAATTATTGATTTCTGTCAACTTATTTAATGATTACGACTTTATCAGAAAGGGGTTTTTGTGGATATTATAATAATTTAATGGTTAAGTTAATGAATTAATTGAAGTTAGACCACCATGGGAAACCTAGAAGAATTGGACTGCCGTTTCATCCTGGTTTAGGACTCCTCAGCAGTACGTATCAACGATCCCGCTCGCTTGATCCAAACCCAGAACATCTAGACCACTGTGTCGGCATCCAACAGTATTAATGTCTAACTTCAACCAAGCCACGAAATTACGTCACCGTCCACCATTTCGATATTTGATATTGTTTGTGTCTATTAGATTCTATTTTTCAAGATTATAAATTTCACACTTCGTTAACATGTTATTCTTAACTATCAAGTAGCTTCATGAATAACTAGTCAATGCTTGAGTTGATGAATATTATGTTCAGGTCTCCTTGTGAATATCATGGGTGAGTTGCAGTTACATTCATCTAATTACTACCAAATGGAGTCAAAAAGACTTGCTACATTTGACTGTATACTACGACTGAACAGTTTAATAGTGAATACGTTTTTGTTGAAACACTAGATATGACAATTACAACTAGAATGTTTGCAAATTGGACTTTTAACCGTAATCCTCTCATCTATTTAAAACAAAATAATGATAAATTCTGTTAAATATTTCCTGGAATTCAAGTGAAAAGCCGTGACCAGTGGAGTTCAATCGCCTTTGTTGTATAGGCAGTTACACACTGAAGACAATGTTGGACGGTCGCGCAATATCGTGGATTGATTAAAGTTACACATTAACACCATTACATGCTGCTCCAACGGTCTAGGGGTTAGGCGTTCGTCCCTGATACTGAAGGTCCTTGGTTCAAGTCCATCATGCAAGATTGTGAATGCACTGTTGAGAAGTCCCGTGTTAGGACAGAACGGCCATTCAGTGCCTCCAGGTTCTCCAAGGTGTTCTAGGTTTAATAAAATTCACTTATTAAAAACTACAAAGTGAAACGTCTATAACAATACATTTGTTTGAGGACTCTCCGTTCAAATTGTTTGCAATTAGTTTGTGCACAAACGTAGTGCAAAATGTTTATTATATGATAGGAAAACGATTGTACTTTACTGATTACTCCTGCATATGTCTATCATATAAACGTCTACACAACTGTTACTACTGTATGACTTCAGTAAACATCACTTCATATTTGAGCTTTATTTCGGAAGGTTCAGAAGAACGTGACTATGAATTCTGTTTATCGAATATTTCATTAATTGTATTTACTCAACCGTAACACTGGTTTGGTACATTTTATTCTATGGAACGTTCTTCTATTAAAACATTTTCATATGAACCATATGATTTTCAATGAAAAGATATTTCAGTCTCCAAGATTATTAATTTAAGCTATAAAGCTGTATTTACAGTTTGTTTTACATGTGACAGTTTATAGTATAATAAGGGAGTATTGAGTCATGAAACAGAGTTATTAAAGGTGAAGGTAAAGGAGTTGCGTTTTCTACGTTCGACAGCGTAATTGAGAAGCTTCCAGTGTTGTTGTTTTAGACGGCAACTCCAGCGCCTACTTCACCCAGAAATGAGTGTTCCAGTTATCCGATTAATGTGATATCAGCTCGTTATTTGCTAGATGGTTGAATGTAATAACCGACGTTTTTCAATAGTAAATCTAAGTTACCTAAAAGTCATAGAGATAATCAGAAACAATATACAGAAGAGATGTAAAAGATAATTGTCTAAATTCAGTTGATGTTGTTTTACTTGTACCTTCCATTGTTATTTAGGACTGCAATTGATCAATATCTTATTGGTATATGTGCATCATGTGCGGATTGCCTCGATATAGCCTTAAGTCCCAAACTTTTTAAGCAAATATGGAAAGTGGCTAGCAGTGGAATTCAGGACGAGCGTTCCATTCTATGTAGGACTCGTCAGGTGGATGTAACTTCAACAAGATACTGATTAATTGCAGTCCTAAGTAACAATTGGAGGATACAAGTAAAACGACACAAAGTGAATATAATCTTCAAAATTTAATGACTTTTTCAGATGTCACCATAAATTTGATTTTGATTCGTTGTTTCGATTTGAGTACTCAGAGGGGGGTAGACACTGTAGTTATTATTACAAAATGTTTTGACCAACTACTTAAATAGCTTCATCAGTGTAATTTTTGTTTTGTTTTAGGATAATAAAATTCACATTGTGATCTTATTTGATGGTGATCGAGGTCTACAATACTTGAATAGCCTACTTAAATCTATTTTTTATTATCAAAATGGAAGATTTCGATGTGATTTAAAAGCTTGTTGTCTATCAAACTTTTGTGATCGATTTATGAATGATTGTCAAACTGTTATGAACAATGTGTCAACAACATATACAACTGTATTTCATTTCTTAATAACGTCGATTTCATTAAATAGTCAGTTGTTGAATTTGATGAATACATGGAAATTACATAATATGGAATATCATTTTTACAGTTGTGGTAATCAACTGGTAAGTTTTCACATGCATTATAACTAACTGTGTTACGTCACTGTACAAACGTTATGTTACATCAGTATTGATTTGATGAAAATACTCTCAGTGTTTTATTACAATGATTCCAATAATATCAGTACAGAGTTTTCTGGAGATGGCACTATTTATAGTTTAAATTACAAATTGATATTAGTCGGACAACCATCAAAAAGCTAACGGGGCTCGATGACCATCTTGTCTTGGTAAAGCATTTCAAGGCCTCAACTCATATGTCTTATCCAAGACCCCCGACCTCGCACATGGTTGCCTAACCACTAGGCCACTGAACTGGCCACCAACAGAATTAAAATCTTACTTCGGTTAATTCACGAGATTGCGCAAAACTCATTCGTTGGCTGGAGTAGGTATCTGCCTCATACCCAACTCGGTTATACTCCACTGGTTAGGGTTTCTCACTAGAACTCCAAAAGTTTCCTGTTGAAGCTTTCACTAACAATTACATGACAATCGCCACTGTGAGGTTGTGGCGAATATTGTGTCACTGGTGAGATGACAGTGGAGTTTAGTCGTGTCAGGTATGAGATAGGCACCTACCGACGACAATAGATGATGATTTCACAATATCCTAGTCTGACTAAAGTTAACTTGTACACGCTTGAACGCTCACCTAGTGCTTTAGAGGTCGAGCGTTCGCTTGCGACATTCAAGGTTTTTGATCGGATTTCAGGTACTCTGTCGTGGATGTGTACTGCTGAAGTCCCATACTCGAATGAAACAACCGTTCACTGCTTCCATATTTTCAATGGTTATCTAACTTAGATCGGTTCGTGACTTCAATGTACTGTGTTTACTAACTTGAATCTGTGTGATTCTTTGTAGACAGATATTTGGTGGATTCAATCTAGGCATCCTTCAGGCGCCAAACCATTTTTAAAATTGATGATTACAGAAATTCTTCCATCTACAATCAATAAAGTAAGTCACAGTTCTGCATGTTCTCTCAGTAATTTTCATAATATTTTTCATCAAATTTTTCCGTATAAATTGACTACAATATTTAAGTGTTTGATTCCCAATATCGTATGAAGAAAACAAGTTTACGTCAGTGTTCAGGAAGTAAATCTTATTCTAATACCACACTAATAAGCATGTAGTCAATTTTAAGGACTACATTTTGTGAGGAAGTACGAAACGTGAACACAGATGATAATGTAATAAGAAAAAGCATAATACTAAATTATATAATGGAAATAATAGCAGTACAAGGCATTGGAAGTGATCATAAGAAGAAAGCTTTTCAATACTAAATACTAAATGTGAATGAACGAGGCTAACTAACAAGAACCAAAAAAGTAGTAGGTATATGTCATGTTCCTTGGTTCTCAGCGCTGTGTAACTGCGATCAATCCATGATGTGAATTACATGCTAATTCAATCATTCATCTAAATGAGAAAGTAATGACGATCGACTAATACTAAGTGTAGTGCAAAACAACTACAGATATTTCTGTGTATATACTACTTAGTTAGTCTTATGAAATATCCAAGATATTTTTTGCTGAAAGTGCTATAAAATGAAAACCTCCGATAATTTTCGAAACTAGCGTCGACAGAAAAGGTATCACAAAGTCAAAGTAGATCAAACTTGGATAAATGGATTTTGGAATAATAACAATAATCATAATAATAACTGAATATTATCTAGATCACGTAATAACAAGTGTTTAAATAATTAAATATTGAACAACATGAATGGAAAGCGGAAAAAGTACAAACAGATAGGGGATATGAGAAAAATTATTAATCTCATGTGATATGTCGTATCCAGGGGTGTCACGAATTTTCTCTCGATAAATATACTAGAATTATAGGTTCGGAACCCTATAGGTTATGCTATATGTAAATGACGGGATCTAACCCTATTGGAAAGTGAAGCTAAGTATACAATAGAACACTACCGTATTCCCATTAACGACTAGATACGCCAATATAAAGCTATGTAGTGTCTTTGTCTGACCCTTTACAAACCAAACTAAGAGATGTTCACTTATATGTTCATTAAGTTACCTAGTAGTACAGTCGATATAGCTATCTCCACAGGAACAAATGAACCTCCTAATCATCTTGTACTCACTATCGTTACATCAAACTGAAATCTGTTTCACAACTCAAATATGATCGAAAAGTGAATAATAATAAAACAGATTAACTTTACTCCTCACCACCACCACCATCATCATCACCACCACCCCCATAAACACACATCGAATACAATCATGACTGCACTCATTTGATGAATATTGATTTGTACAAATTTGTACTGATTTCCTGCAAAAAATACCAACCACACTATCATCACATATCACAGGAAAATACATAGAATAACTAAGACAACAAAGAAAACACAAAAGAACTTCATATCACATGTTATAACATTAAAATCAATAGAAAATTGAGTAGATTAATGCAGTAAAATACAATTGAATTAATATTCAGAAAATAAATTCAGATTCTAATAACGATCAATAATAAGTCAAGATGGATGGTGACTAGTAGTGGAATCTAGGACGTGAGATTTGGAACTATTCAACTGGATGTATCTGCATCAATAATGAAGAGAATAATTACACCGTGTTAATAATCTTGTCTCATCATTTTATCGCATCCTAACACTCTCCTGCTTTTAGCGGGTTATGTAATGAGTCAGATTAGGAATAAGATGTTTCACTGTGTAACTCTTCTATTTTCTAATGAAACACGATCGTGGATCATGTTCACTTGTGTATTAAATCTCTTCTGGCGTTTAATCGATGTAGTCGATCAAGTTTATAGAGGTACGATAAACGTAACTCTCTGAATCAACAGCACTCACGGTATCTTCATTTTGAAACTTCTGGTTTTTATGGGTTCGGACACTGAACATTGGATGCTGCCAATGTTCAGAGGAGCTTTGTCGTGCATACTGTAATTCTTTCTCTACTGAAATCATGAACCGATCAATATTAGACCACCATTGAAAACCTGAGAGCACTTGACAGGTGCTTCGTTTTGGTATGGGACTGCAACAGTTTGAATCGTTGACCTTACATGAGTGAATTGAATACAGGAATTTAGGTCTTGAGCAAACGTTTGACCACTGAGCCAGGATCCAGAGGTGCTGGAGTCTCATACCAAAGAGAACCAGCCGTCCATTCCCCCCCAGTTTATCGTTGATGGGTTTATGGTTTCAGTGAACATGAACAATCTCTACAACCCAACACTGATAATCCTTTTTCTAAATTTGATCTTTGTCACAAGCAGCTAATAATCTGTTTCATAGATTTATTTTCTTTAACTTAAAGGCATGCATCTGTAAAACGCGTTTTAGTAAAATATCTTCTATCATTAGATTTCGTGAAAATACTCTTAACTACAAGCAGTCGATGTGAATATTCTTTGAATTGAGTATTCAAATTAGTCTAGAAGTCAACCTTCGGTTATGTCGATCCACTGAAAGTTTTACATACTACTACTTAGGCTGCCCAAAGTAAATGTTTCATATAATTGAGATAAACCATGTCCTTCAAACACTTTTACTACTTATCTACTAACGATGGTGTGGCAAATGGCACCAGTCTTCAGAGTTTGAAGCGAAGCCGAAGATATCAAGATACTTTTTAAACTGTACAACATTCAGGGAACTCACAAAATATTGAACAATACTTTGCTTTAGTATGACTGATGAAAGAACAGGAGTAGACCTACACTTTTGTCACACATCACCACATAACAAAGTAATATCTGAAAAAGTATAAATCTGAAGGGTAATTTATTTGCAGAAACCTCAAAACATTTTATCTTCCTAGCTGGATGAACACACGAAACATTAAAAACAGTATTATTAGGTGATGACTATAATTTCTTTTCACTTTAATGTAAAGCGTAATAAAACCTACAAGAACCCACCTTTGTAACGTAACTGTTTACATTTATTGCATTTATTTGTTTTGTATGGATATCTTTTGGTAAAATGCCAACTAATGCAGAAGCAATAAACCGCTGACTGCCTTTTTTAACAAACGGATAGTACTATCCAATTTTTGTCGTCCACATGGTAAAGATACTTATGAACTTGTGTCCTCTCTTTCTTTTGTATTGTGTATTAAATTCAAAGCTTTGACACTTCGTCATCACATATTGTAAGGTCAGACATACATCATATTTCATACTTGTAGGATACGAGTACGGAATTCAAAGTCAGATGTTGACAGAAATAATAATAAAACATTGAATTGATCATGGGTTTTTGATATCAGATTAGAATATTGGGTTGTGCGATTCACATTACCAGCATAAGTGCTATAATCATCATTAGATTCGTCGAAATTCTTTAAGAAACTGTATAGAAAGTTGGAAGACGACGATTGTTCATCATTTCTACTATAGCTGGCGTCCAAAGTGATTCTGATGCAATAGTAAAAGTAAAGTCATCATCTTGGTTCAAAACTGTTCCAACGTGATACAAAGATTTACTCACTAATAACTGAGAAAACTAAGCATTGACTACTTTGGCTAACTTCAAACTTAGCTACAGTCTGCTATTTCTTAACTCAAGGTTGGAAATTGACAGATCAATAGTAGTTTAGTCGAAGTTAACGTTGTGTCGTTATTCGTGTCCATTGGAACATGTGATTGGTTACGATTAATGACACTCGGCTATAAACAGAATAACGTACACAGGATGGAGAAATTATAATCAAAATTCTGATTGGTGAATCCAAGAAGCTGCATTGAATCACGACGCAGTCGTAACATAACGCATTTATATTGTCAGCTTTATTTAGCGTTATAACTACCCTCGAAGATTTAAGAGTGGAAATTTTTATGGAATTCGATATCTACGATTAAATGTTTAGTCAGGTACCATCTGAAGTTTTTAACCTTCAATCAATATTTAGCATGGTTACATTAGGCTCCATTCATTTCAACTTCATATAATGAAATTATAACTGGAAGATGAGTACACAAACCAGTACTTATTATTGACTAGATTAAAACGATGATATGTTACGGGAGTATATCATGAATGGGTAATTTGTTTCTATACTCTTGTACCTTTCCCTTTATAGGTAATTGTACTAGACATTGATATACTACTTAATACAGATATTATTGAATTATGGAATCATTTTGATTATTTTAAAGAAACTCAGGTTTGTTTCTAATAATTGTTCATGTTATGATTGATTAACTGTTGATATTCGATATAAAACAAACACAAACCATTTTGTAATTGATCACATATCATACTATGATATCAAAGTGCAGTTGTTTTTTTTCAAATGCTTAACAACAATTGAAGTGTATTAGAAGATTGATCAGAATTGAATCTTTTTTTATTTATCTTAACACATAGATATCGGTACAATGAGGCACCAAAACATATGCGCCACAAAAATCTCATTTGATATGTGTGAGGGATGTGATACTGCCCGGGTGCCCAAACCGAAGCAGATGGTTTTCTTAGGGGGGCAAACCCCGAACCTTCGACCTAAAGGTCTGATCCATAAGGCAGTGGAGCAACGTAAGTTGATGCAGTTCAATGGTAGCTGATGACTGACGACTGGTCCATACGCCATTTGTTCCTTCAGGATACTGGAGCCCATGTGCACCATTGGTTTGGTATGAGGGTTTTCCAACTCCCCTAGGTGGACTCTCCATGTCCATCAACCCGGTTAAATCACCGGAGATTTGCCTTTTGTCCTCTCAATTTCATAAACAACAGTAATGCCACGAGAAGGCAATGAGTAGGACTTCCCTGGCAGTGGCTAAATACGCGTGGCCATGTGAGAACGTTTCGAGAGGGAGAGAGGACTCTCCCCACTCTCAGCTGTACCAGGGCATTTGGGGACTGAATTGAATCTACATTCTATTTGGCTTACACGATAAATACAAAAAAATATTTAACTGAGTGTTGAGTACATAGTTCTCATTGGACTATAAAGTCGACACAAACCAAACACTATTATTATCATTATTATCATTATTATTATTATTATCTCGATTGAATGAATATGAATGGAATGATTTCACTATGAATTATTCGAAGATCCAACAGTATGAATTGTGAATACTCAGGTTGTCTTCAATGAAACCTTTAAATGAGACAGTCATTTATAATATAATTCTTTAAATCTGACTAATTGCATCATGAATAGGCTTTACTTAGTGAACTCTTAAGTGAAGAAAAGTAAGAGAAGTGCACGAAAGCCTTATTTGCAAAAGCCAACAAAACAACTGAGATATTTTTCGGGTTCTTGTTTATTCAGCGAAGAATGTGCTTTCAAACAGATATATACTTGTAACAATATACGTCAAGATATGTGACAATCAGTAGTTGTGTTGAAATTAATGTGATAGACAGTGTCAAAATGAGAACAGCTCAGTGATCTAGAAGTTATTATTATTAGCTTTATTCATTCTACATTCTACATTCTTCATTCATTTCACAGTTGATTTCAAACTGGGACTAAACTTTCAACTTCAGCTAGACAATGTTTTGTGTGTATCAAGTTTACTGAAGGATATTTTGTGATGATCGTTTCAAATTTATACTTCTGATGGCTTACAAATCTTCATGTCTTTGTATTTTTCAAAGAGCATAGGTATTGGATTAGAACAAAATCCATATTTTCAAGAAGTTATGATCAAATTGGAAAGCAATTGGAAAGTAAGTTTAAACATTTTGAAACATCATTACATTTGCAACGATTTACACTTGTATATCACTATCCTTTTCAAGAACAATTGCACTGAGAATATAATTTGTGGACTAACTGTAAGCGACTCTGAATTGACCTAGAGACAGCTCACCTACTTGTTTAATGTGGTTGGCGTTGTTTTAGCAAGAATTTTTCTACGGGATGGGGTTTCTGACCTCATCCCCAATCCTACTCTTTTACGAGGGCTCGGGAACAGCACTAACTCTAGAAGAGCTGCAGGCCGAGTTAGCTCAACTACTTAAAATGCCCAAATGAGGTTATAAATTAGTGTGAGGAGTTACGATTCGGATGTCAAGTTAGAATTTAGGCTTACGAATGAAAATGAGGATTTTCATCACGAACTGCCACCAGCAATAATGCTAAAATGTTATTTAACTATGTAGATGAATTGAATTCGCGCGACAATCCAAGACATACTATCACCAATTTCATTGGTTCGCCGACAAATTATGTTCTCGCACAAACTGCTTTTTATCAAGCAATAATCATGTAAAGCTAATACTTCTCCCTTATTTATATCAGATTGCAGTCATGGATGTAGATGATTGATTTCAGAACTGTGAATACCTTGTTTATTTTGTAGTGACGTTTGAATTGTGTCCATCAAGTCGCAATGTACTTACTAACCTATTAAACTTTGATTGACAAAAACATCCTGGAAACGAGTTTTGTGTAATTCAGTACTTGTAAACTGGAAGGTATATGCAGAATCTTGAGGAATTATGATTATCTCAGTGAGATGCGTAGTCACCTCCTGGTTTAGATTATTAAGGGACTGTTATAATACATAATCAAACGTTCTAAATAGCTTTTATACTAATTGCCGTTAGGCCAATGTCATAGCTGAATACCTAGAACATCAACTTCTGTGCAAAGTATGGTGGATCATATGCATAATGTTTATTTTAGGGTTACGGATATAATAATGGTGTTCTGTTACTTCATCTGTCTAAATTACGATCAACCAATTGGAATCATCTATGGTTAAGTATAACTAGAAGAGCTATTAAACGTCAAGGTTACTTAATCACTGGTGAACAGGTAGGTTTAAACTTCTTACATATTAATCGTAACTACTTTTAGTGACTGTCAATACCTATATGAAGATACCAATTTGCAAATTTCTACCAAACACGCGTTTATAAGGTACACAAAATCTTAATGACACTATTCAAATGAATACTGATCCGGCAAACGAAAAGAAATTGAATAATACTCTACGAACTACCTAGTTCCATAAGTGTGACTACTGAGAAACAAATTCATTCACTATTAAACAGTAGCACATAGTTACAATCTCCACTAGTTTATTAGGAGGAGAAACTTATATCCACAAAGCGAATTACCAGAGTACTGATGTCACTTCATAGCTCAACCATTTATTAAAATGAATGGGTGGAGAGCAATATCGTCAAGTTATTACACTTGTCATGGAAAGTGTACAACGTCACTCAGCCGGATATTCTATTTGAATGCTTGCGTCTTCCTATAATGACGGGAAGTGGTTTATTGATTACATACTATATTCACGCTCATAACACAATCAGATATCGTTTCGACTCCCCTCACATCGTGATGTGGAACACAGTTTATGACCATCATTTGGAATTACATCAAGATTGATGAGCCTTGAATAATTACACATTGAAAACAATAACTGAGACTTTTAGCCAAAGAGCTTTTAACTTAGCAAACGAAAGAACTGGACCTCCACTCTCAGGAACCATAATTTAAATAGATCTACAGGACACACTGATCGGAGACCTATATACTCTACAGTATACACAAGAATAAATACTGTATCGTGGCTTATAAGTTATCACTTACATAAATGTATGTGGACAATTGTGGACACACATTCGAGTGGAAAAATGTCAAAATCTTGGTAGGAGGGAATAATGAGAACGCTAGCGAATTTGCAGGAGCTTAGCAATCAACAAACACGTTAACATCGATGCAGTTTATTAACCAACCAGAAAAATCATGGAGAAATATATGATGAAGAGTCAGACCAAAGAAAGAGACTATCCACGACTCAATCATTCAGTTCAGCTAAACGAAACTCCATAAAAATCATCCATCAGAGTATTAAGCATTCTATACCATCTCTGAATATCATGTGTATACTAACAAGTCAACTGTAATTTATTGATAGAAATAGACATATTAATAGTTAGTTATAGAAGTCAGGGTTTAAATATAAGAAAGCATAAAAGTACCATGAATCTATTGTTTAATGAACAACATTGAGATTTCATCATATTATGAAAACGAGAGGGCATAACATATTCATTACATTGGCACCCGAATGCCTTGGTACGACCGAGAGTGGTGAGAGTCAGCTCTCCCTTTCGAAATACTCAAACATGTTCACGTACATACCACCACTGACAGGGAAGTCCTACTCACTGCCTTCTCTCACCAGGGATGTTGTTTACGAAACTGAGAGGATGAAAAGCGAATGTCCGTTGGTTTAACCGGGTTGGTGGATAAAAAGAATCCACCTAGGATAGTTGGGAAACCATGATTTCATACCAGCGGTGCACATGGGCTGCAGGATCCTGAGTGAACAAATGGCGTATGAACTACTTGTTGGTCAATGACAACCATGAGACTGCATCTTTTGAAGTTATTCTACTGCCTTGTGGATCAGACCTTTAGGTCAAAGGTTCGGGTATGGCCCCCTAATAAAGCTACCTGCCCCGGTATTGACACCCGGTATCCCAGCCCCCACATAAATCAACAGACTTGTATGGCGCATATGTACTTGGTGACCCTTCTTACCAATATTTATTTGTTCAAATAAAATAATAAGTTCATTACATTGACAAGAAATAAAATTTGAATGATAATTGGAATAGAGAATTATGTCCATTCCTCCTCTCAGTCCATCATTTATAGAATGTACAACTGTACTAACACCAGCTTATTTCAAACATCGTCACTTATTTATTCGTTTCCTTATCCACTTTTTAGGATATTTTAAACTTAATATTATTTGAATTCAAATACATTTTATATGAGATTCCATGTGAATGGAATATTCAATTAAGTGCAGGAAGTGATGAACAACGATGTCCTGTAAGTTGGTTAACTTATACCGAATTGAAAAAGCGTAATTATACAACAATCGTGAAACAACCAAAACTTATTCATATTAATCATCATATAAAACCAAATGATATAAATGTGAATTATACACCAACTGAGTACATTGATCAATCAGATATCATTCTTAAACGTAAGTTAATATGTAATGAAATATGATGAAACTAACAACATACAACTCTCATGACTTAATATTATAATTAATAGATAAATTTTAATTATGCATGTTGTGCCAGTTACATGAGACGTACAATTAAACAGGAGACACGAACTATAATGTTTGAACCTCTCAACGTATGTTCTCTTAACAGTGATGTTTACAACTAAAATTGATCAGTCTCCCACTGACAGATATTCATCCTGTGAGGATTATGTTGATATCGCCTTAATTTACATGCATTGTAAACAGAGATGAATAGTGGCTAGCACTGGAATCTAGGAAGTGAGTTTCGTCAAATTTCGCACTCATAAGCTGGATGTGCCTGTATCCCAAATTTGATGTTCACTCCTATATTCGAACACACTACTTTTCGCTTCAAACGTCATCGCGATTTCCACTTATCTACTGTGTGCAGTTAGCAATTAGCACGTGGCTTAGTGCAAAGTTTAATTCATTTTGTATTGGTTATTTGAATCTATCCATTGACTATATGAATAGTTCCAAATAGGACTATTTGTTAGATACTCATGTTTTACTCGTCTAAATTAACTATGTGTATACTTTAAATCACTGAAGCACAATATTATGAAGCATTAGTTTCACTTATCATGCTATCAATGACTATAATTACATAATCATGGTGATTCTCTACTGAATTGTAATTTTATTTGTAGAGTGGGAACTATATGATAAATTCGTGTCAGTTTACCGTCAATATACTCAATTACATGAATCATGTTTCCAATAGATTCAATTGAAGAACCAATCAGTTTGATGTTGTTCTTTCAATCATGTAGTTGATAGGCTATTCTTTGTCTTCAATCAATAGAATCGATTATCTTTTATTTTTTGTATTTATATCAATACACTTGAAATAAATGTGGTTAATGATAACATGAGGATATTCTAAGACTATTTCTATCGAATTGTGTGTATCTACTAAGTTGGTGAAATATAATTGTTGAATGGGATGACTGCTTACTATGACCGGGATAAATTGAGATATGAAATAGCATGTGGATTGATCATCATAAACTACTTTAATGTTAATTAAGTTATGATAATCTTATATTAATAGTAAGTAGTAAGGATGTCGATACATAAAAGTATTTGTCTTGTTTATTATAGTCATGTGGTTCTCACTTGTCAGTATATATTGTTTTGTCGGTGTATGTAAAGCATTAGTGTAGTGTATTATTCATCCCTATGTTTACACTGACAACATATGATGCGATCGAAGTGAAATATGTTGAACACCATTATTATATATAGTAGTCGGAAAAGTATGATAAGAAATGAAGATTGTGTAATGGTCCAACGTTTCATCTCTTCATGTTCACGGGATTCAGGAACACCTGGTTAATCTAATGCTGAAATCATCAAAATTTCAACTTCAAAGAACCTCTGTTCATATGTATATACCTTTATAACACTTCTCATTCATCAAACGTTTAAAATGGTACTCTTAAAAATCGTCTTACATACCATTATATTCAGAAGACTGACATAATATAAATGACAACATATATTTGATCACCTTGTAGATGCATGCAATATCGATGTAATTTCCACCGGGTTTCTATAGATTATAACTGGAAACGTATATTGAACGATTCTTTACATTTTATTCAAGTTTGTAATAACAGTATTCCAAAAAACAAAAGTAATTACGCTAAATATCATAGCCATAATCACAATTCTATTGAGATTATGAATCGATTGATGCCAGACCACCGTTGGAAACCAGGAAGCACTAGACGGCCGTTTTGTCCTACTGTGGGACTCCTTAGCAGTGTGCATTCACGGCCATGCCCGCGAAATTCGAAGCCAGAGCCTTCAGTCTCGCGCGCGAACGCCTAACCACTAGACCGCTGGGCTTGCCTGCATCCTACGGTGTTGATATCTAACCTCAACCAATCCACAAAATTGCACGACCACCTTCCATTATACTGAGGTTGACTCCTGTCTCTACCCGAAATGAATTAGCTCCACTAGTCACGGCTTCTCACTGGAACTCTAAGAACTCCCTCATGAAGCTTGTCACTAGTGAGCACATGGTAATTATCAGTATAGGGTTGTGAAGATTGTTAAGTTTTTGATTGAGATCATGAATCGATAATCATGATTTGGTTTTGTAAAATTACATTGAAAAAGCTGACCTTATCGATAAGAAACCATTTCCATTAATTTCATGGATGGATTAGTAAGGTAATAATACGTTGACTTATGTGTACCCACAAGCTAAACAAGATAATGCAACATATCGGAACGACGTTTTAAATTTTATACGAACATCAATTGTTGACAAATACAAATAGACAATACGTGAAGACCTAAATGTAATGATGAATTTTATTTCATCCTTTATCATTTATTTCATCACCAAATAGACATACACCACATAAATCAGTGGATTTGTGTGAGAGCCGGGATACTGCCCGTGTGCACAGTTCGAAAAAGGTAGTTTTCTTAGGGAGCCTCATTCGAACCTTCGATCTTAAGGTCTGATCCATAAGGCAGTAGTGTAACGTCAGAAGATGCAGTCACATGGCAGCCGGTGACCAATGATTGGTTTATAAGCCATTTATTCCTTCAGGATCCTGGTGTTCATGTGAACTCTTGGTGTGGAATCATGGTTTTCCAACTCCTCTAGGTGGACTCGGTGACCAACAATCCGGTTAAAGCGTCAGATATTGGATTTTCGTCATCTCAATGTCGTAAACAATATCCCCGTCGTGAGAAGGCAGTTAGTAGGACTTCTCTAGCAGTGGTTGTATGCAAGTAGCCATCTGAGAGTATTTTGAGAGGAAGAGCTGACTTTCCCCACACTCGGCCGTACCAGGTCATTTAGGCATATATAAATACATACAAACTCAGGAGATAAATGTATCTGTATTCATCACAAGAACACAAGTGGGAACGATCAAATGTTTTTGGACACAAAAATACAAGATGCATCAGTAAAATCTGAGAACTATGCAGTAAATACTTCATTTGCAAAATATCAGTCAACCGTCTGAGAATTCATAGCTCTTTTGATTTCACACTAATCATTCTCTGTCCTCATTCTCTTTTTCTTCAATCTTCTTAACGTTCTGACTCCAGACGATTCACTTTCGATTGATGATACATACTACTTATATCTGTCGACATCATTAGCACACATGATAACGAAGAAATACCAAAACATGAAAAAGTTATCACAGTCAAAACAGTCATTTCTTTTTTTTTCTTACCAATGACTAATCAATAAATAGGCATACAGTCAAATAATAAAGTTTACACGGATACACACCCAACATCACTTAAGATAATATTCCATTTATAGCCGAATGTCATGAATCATGACCAATCATACGTTGCAACGGACATGATTAAACATGACGCGTGCCTAACTTAATCTAAACGCCCATTGATCTGTCGATTTCTAGCCTTGAGTCAGGAAATGTTGAACTGTATCCAACTTTCTAGCTTTATATTTCGACAATTCAGCATTTATCTTAAACAATTATTAGCTTATCGGACATCAAGGGACCTCAAATACGAAATTGTACCCTGCATATTATCAGGTTATAATTAGTATAGAATTAATATGTAGTTAAGTAGCAAGAATGAAGGATGGTAGTAAAATGTTAAACGATAGAATTACCTTAATACAACTAACAATTGATCATATAATAAACATAAAAATAATAATCCGTAAACTAGTCCTATGTGTTGCACTTTATATAGTTGTCACTCTACTACAACACTTCAGGAAAACATACCAAAATGGATAACTATTTCCCACACTGTCGAATCAAGAATTGGAGAGCATAATTAGTAGTTTTCTACAATTGTCTTGGATGTTTCCAGAAAGCAATGACTAGTCAAAGCAACCTACGTGACATCTGAAGATATTTTAAAGAGTGTTTGTACCACTTTAGACAAGTGTACTATTCATTATGAAGAACTAACTGATTGAGTGTTATGTAATTTAACGTGGAAAATGCATTATCATCCATCAGTGGTAAACTTCTTTGGATAACTCTCATAAGTGAATAATGTAAAGCCTACAAACAGTATTTACGCCTGTTATTCAGATTTACCAATTGTTTTATTGACAACCTGTTCAGTTTGTTTGAGACTGATGAAAGTGTTAAAGTTAATTAACCCATCAATCATTGAATATACTTGCCGAAAATGGATGTCATAGAACGAACCTCAGTGATCTGAGTGGATTGAAAGTCATGATCTGACACGTTGTTATTGAACTATAATCTTAAACTAAAAACTGTAGTAACGCTGTGGTGTGCGCTAGTCATATTGATATAAGTAGTATATTATGCGAGTCAGGAATGAAATGTTTGGCAGCAGAAGATGAGGTAAGATCAAGAAAAGAAGAGCGAGAATGGAATGCAATTCGTATGAAAATGTAGCAACAATGAAGTTTGAGGCATTTTGAGACAATTGGTGGACAATTTGCAAATTATCGATTTAATATATAGTTCTCAGATTTTATTGAGATGCTCTGTAATGGTGTGTTAAGTTCATTCGATTGTCCTCACCGGTGTTCTGTTCAGTACAACAATAGTTGGCTCGACGATCACACTAGGGCAATCATTTTACATGATTTTTTTTAAAGGATAGAGAAGGCTATTTGTCGTGAATTGAAGACACCTATAAGTGTTTACAATGAATCCCAGGGAAATGGGATCATACACAAGTGGGCATGATCCACGATCGTGTTTCATTAGAAAATAGAAGAGTTACACAGTAAAACATTTTATTCCTAATCTGACTCATTACATAACCCGCTAAAAGCAGGAGAGTGTTAGGATGCGATAAAATGATGAGACAAGATTATTAACTCGGTGTAATTATTCTCTTCATTATTGATGCAGATACATCCAGTTGAATAGTTCCAAATCTCACGTCCTAGATTCCACTAATAGTCACCATCCATCTTTACTTATTGCTATGGTTGGTTATTGCTTGAATGCTATTACTGATGCGTATTACTCGAACGGAACGAAGGATCAATGATTCAGCGACTCGATAGCTATTCTGGTTCGTTGTCCCCGACTCTGCTAATTCGATCAAAAAGTCTGGGTAAGGTGTAGAAAGTGTATTCTACAGACAAACAGCAGATCACAAGTCAGGTCAAGCACACAACAAGATAAAATTTAAAAATATGAATTTTTACAGGTTGAAATCATGAGTCGATTGAAACTAGACCACCATGGAAAACCTGGAAGCACTAGACGGCCGTTTCGTCATAGTACAGGACTCTTCAGCAGTGCGCATCCACGATCCCGCACCACGCGGGGTTTTCCGTGGTGGTCTAGCTTCGATCGACTCATGATTTCAACCTGTGAAATTTGTAAAACTCTCCACAAAACCCATTCTGTTAAAAATATGAATTTGGGGATCTATCGTCCCCAACACTTATTAATGATCGTTATTAGAATCTGAATTTATTTTCTGAATATTAATTCAATTGTATTTTACTGCATTAATCTACTCAATTTTTCTATTGATTTTAATGTTATAACATGTGATATGAAGTTCTTTTGTGTTTGTTTTTTTTTTCGTTGTCTCAGTTATTCTGTGTATTTTCCTGTGATATGTGATGATAGTGTGGTTGGTATTTTTTGCAGGAAATCAGTACAAATTTGTACAAATCAATATTCATCAAATGAGTGCAGTCATGATTGTATTCGATGTGTGTTTATGGGGGTTGTTGTTGTGGTGGTGGTGGTGAGGAGTAAAGTTAATCTGTTTTATTATTATTCACTTTTCGATCATATTTGAGTTGTGATACAGATTTCAACTTGATGTAACGATAGTGAGTACAAGATGATTAGGAGGTTCATTTGTTCCTGTGGAGATAGCTCTATCGACTGTACTAC